ATGCAGCTGCCTTCCTGCAAGGATAAATATAAAAAGCTAAGCAAGGTTTTGCTTCTTTTTGCAGCTTCTGTGATGACAGGGCTCTTCTAGTTCCAAAATATTTGAGGCTCGTCCTGTTTTCTGTGCAGCAGGGGCCGCTGGAGTCCCCATCCTGGAAAGTGTGAGAATTGTGGGTGGAGTTTTAGGCAGTTCAGAGGCGTCCCTGAGCTTTATTATAAATCAAAGGCGACTCTGACATTGGTGAGGGAGAGAAAATGATGAATCTGACTCTGTGGATATCGGAAGGTTAATGAATTACTTAATTATACTATATTATGTACATTGTATTAAACTGAATTTGCTATGCACTCACTCTTGCTCGCACTGCACAGAATCTTGTGACTGTCACCCAACAGTCTTGACACACACACACCATGACTTTGGGTAAACAATCTCCATGTTGCATTCTACTTTTGCACAAACACAGGCACAGCAAATGATAAAAATTGTGTTTTCTCTCTCTGAAGTTGAAAAAAATGTAAACCCAGAAATATTTTTAAGAAGAATGAAGATAAATATGGGGCTGCATTGCCCTGTGTGTGTGCAGTGACAGCGGTGAGGGAGGTGACAGCAGTGCCAAGGACAGCCCATCCAGCTGCTGCCTGTGTGGGCTGCGCCTCTCTGCCAGCCTGGAAACTGCTGCCAGGTGTTTTTAAGCAGGTCAGCACCCTCCCTGCTCTGCAGGGATGTGTTTGCTGACTGTGCCAAGCAGCGTTTGGCAGGCAGAGCCTGCAGTGTGACCGACAAAGTCAGGTTATCTCCCTGGTGGTGATTCGCAGCCAGGCTGGGTCAGGTGCCAAGCTGGAAAATGCCACTCGAGGCATTTTCTTAATTGCTCCTCGGGAACAGCAGGTGGAAGCAGGATCTGCCCCAGGGCTCTGCAGGGTTCAGTCCTGCTGATCCTGTTCCTGCTGGCTCCTTCCTGGGGTGCTGGGTGGGATTTGGGATTCCTGGCTGGATGCACAAGGGCTGGATGCACTGATGCTTTCCTGCTCTCGTGTGCCCCAGTTCCCTCCTCCAGCAGGTCACACACAGCTCCTTCCCTCTGCAGCAGAGGTGCCTCATCCCTGCTGCTGCCGTGCCAAAGCTGCTGCTGCTCCTGCTGCACTCTTTCTCATCTCACGGCTTCCTGATCCCCTGTGAGGTCCCTGCTGAGCTCCTCAGCTGCTCCTTTTGGCTCCAGGGAGGTGGGAAGGGGAAGCAGAGGCAGGAGCAGGATGAGGTCAGGCTGCAGCGTCGCTGCAGCATTGCTCACGCTGATGAGGATCTGATGTAAAATTCATCTGCAGAAATCAGCTCTGCTGCTTCGGAGCGGGGATGTGGGCTGTGCTCTGCTCACGGCAGCCATGGGCAACAGGACGTGGAGCTTCTGCTTTTGCTTCAGAGTCGTGGTTTTGCTTCAGAGTCATGGTTGTGTTTCAGACTCGTGGTTTTGCTTCAGAGTCATGGTTGTGTTTCAGACTCGTGGTTTTGTTTCAGACTAACGGTTTTTGGCTAAGCTTCAGTAAGATTCACATATTCCCCTCTTTATCTGTGTCCTCTACACCAGCAGGGGATTGTGCAGGGTCCCTTGTCACCCATGGGATGTGGGGCCAACGTGGTGCAGGGGCTGAGGTGTTCTCAGTGTTCTCTCCTGCCACTGATCCATGCTGGGAACAGGCAGCACCTCAGCTTTGGTTCACCCAGCTTTGGGGAAGCTTAGAAGTGTTGTGGAAAGGGGTAAAAGGTTTTCTTTTTGAGGGGATGGAGAGTGAAAGCACACAGGAATGACACAAATACCTAATAAGGACACCAAGAGAGGGAAGCCTGGAGAAAGGATCCCTGCAGGGAGGTTATTTGAGATGCACAGCGGTGACTACCGAGCCCTTTGAAGCTTCAGACAGAGGCAGCCAGACCAGATGGACAGGTCTGCTGTGGCCCAGGGGCCTCTCTGTCCGTGCAGAGGCATTCCCAACCCCCAGAGCTGCCTGGTGACTCACAGGGAAGCCGTGGGCTCAGCCGGCCATGGAGCCCTTGGTGTGGTCAGCAGCGTTCTCTGCAGTGGGCCAGGCTTTTTCACAGCAGGACAGCTGTCTGTCCATCCTGAGGCCATCCCTGGACAGGGCTAAACCAGTCAGGAGCTGCCAAATGTCACTGCCCGTGACAGATCTGCCCTGGACATTGCTCCCAGTGCTGCAGCACGGTGTCAGTAATGTTATCCTCCTCTCTCTAGCAAGCGTGTGGGAGGTGATGAATTTGGGAGTGGGAGCCCTTGTTAGGGGAAAAAAGTTCCTGAGGGAGGCCAGCAAGGTTGATTTCTGTGGGAACTGCTGGCTGGCATTTTTAAACAACAATAGACTTAATAAATAAATAAATAAACTTGCTGCCACGGAAGGATATAGCATCAGCCAGGGCTGTTGGGGCCGGTATTTCCTTGGAAAGTGGAAAGGACAGGTGTTTCCCTCCTCTTTGGCCCTGCCTGCTGTGTTTGGCTCCTCAGCTCTGGGGAACCGAGTCTTCCTTGGGGGAACAGAATCCTCCTTGGGGGAACCGAGGATTCTTTGGGGAAATGAGGATTCCTGGGGGGAATGAGGATTCCTGGGGAAAAATGAGGATTCCTGGGGGAAAATGAGGATTCCTGGGCGCTGCCCACCTCCAGGGCACTTCCCCACCCGTGTGGGGTCTTCTCGGACACGTCCAGAGTGGAAAGAATTTGTTCTAGCACAGGTGCAACCAAATCGATGCGGGATAAACTGCCGGGATTGGGTTTCACCGTTCCGTGCCTCTCACGGGGAGGGGGGAAAGCAGGGAAGGCGAGGGGTGACAGCGACGTGACCGGGCCCTGCTTTTGGGCAGAAATTGGCCAATTTGG